TTGAGGACCCTGAAGGAGAACCATGGGCCTCCTTTTCCTGCTGGTCAAAAGGTCTGGAGCAACAGTAATAAACATTATATAAATACATTCAGTCATTTCCACTTGCCCGGTTATGGGCAGGTGACAGAGGTTTTTCTTAATCCCAAATGAACTGAGCCGCGCCTTCTGTCTAACAAATAAACCTTTCCCTCCCCCTCGATCTTCTCCATGGATGTGCTCATAAATGCTGCTGGGCTGCAGATGACAAAGTCATGCTGGAGGGTTGTCAGGTGACAGGCAACAGATGTGCTGGGAGGGCTAGAGCTAGAAACAGAATTACTGTTTAGTTAAGTGTTTACCAAGACCTGGTGGCAGGGCATAGGTCCACTAGAGAGTTACTTGCTTCTTGGTTTCATTTGAGGGACATCAAAAAGGGTCCAGCACATTAAAAAGAAAAATCTCTTTCCACACTAAAGCCTGAAATTCCATCCTTTGGGATTCATTCCTTGGGGTTGAGCCTTGCCATCTTCGACAACCAGAACATGGGATGTGGGTAACACAACCCTCAAATCTAAAAGTGCTTTCCACCCAAGTCCAAAGAAAGGATACCACAAGGGCACTGGGTCTCCTAACACTTACTTGGGTCAACTACTTCCCCCTTTCCCTGCCAACTTTGCCCAGAGAGACAGCATAGAAGGAATCCTCTCCCATTCGCTTTGAGCCCTGGGGGCAAGGCAACAGGTCTTCCCTTTTCTTGTGTCCTGAATCCCTCTGGCAGTGTCTGGTGAAGCCCACATAAGACCCCTTCTCAGAATCATGTTTTAAATAATTGAAGGAAATGTTCAGTTTCTGTTACAGGTCAGTGAAAACAATAATGCAATTTTTTTCCCATCCAAGTTCATAGATCCCCCTGAAGTCTATCTATAGATCCCTCCACAGACTCCGGCATTTAGAACAGTGCCTGGCACAAAGTAAGTGCTTAATAAATGCTTATTGGTTGATTGATCGATTAAGAATTCTTACTTTAGGGAAATAAAAAGTACTTCCTGGAAAAAATGTCTAATGTAGTACATAGTATGCTGCAGGTGATTATAAGTGCTGCTAGTGGTGGTAAAAGCTGTGTCTGAGGTTGGATTTGAACCCGAGCCTTCTGTGTTTCTGTCATGATTCACCCCCTACTGACATACCCACAGCACCATTTCCCTCACTCTTCCCTGTTATCCCTCCTTCTTTTCCTCATTCCTTGAGAGTGGTTCAGTGGAGTACCACACATGGAGTCTGAGGACCTGAATTCAAATCCCAACTCTCCTGCCTATCAGCCGTACAAATCGGGGCAAGCCACTCTACGCCTCAGTTTCCCTTCTGTAAAATGCAAAGGTTGAACTCTACCTTTAGCAACCTCTGATAAACCTATGTCCATGAAGAAGATCAACACTCAGAATGGACCCTGGAGAAACACCATTGTTCAAAAGGGTTCTCTCTGGCCCTAGCCATCCCTACCCCATCCCACAAGAACAATAAACAGCCATTCTCCCACATTCTTGTTGGAAAAACATTCCTACACAGCCACAGGTGTGCTGGAGCAAGCTCAGATGGGCCCACTGGAGCCACTTGTTAAATTTTCAGTGTGAGCATTTACACCTTGGAAACTGGCAAGTGCAACATACATGGCTTGATTTACTGGTTTTTTATTGTCTACCAAGGCTGGGGAACCTGCAGCCTCGAGGCCACATGTGGCCCTCTAGGTCCTCAAGGGTGGCCCTTTGACTGAATCCAAACTTCACAGAGCAAATCCCCTTCATAAAAGGATTTGTTCTGCAAAACTTGGACTCAGTCAAAAGGCCGCACTTGAGGACCTAGAAGGCCACATGTGGCCTTCAAGCTGAAGGTTCCCCACCTCTGGGACTTAAATGACAGAAAAAACATTAATTCAGATTAAATTTAAAAGTGGCTCATGCAGACATTCCCCCCCCCCCAAAAGCCATGTTGTTAAACATTTACCAGTACATGGCTACAGATGGCCCACAAAAACTCGCACAGGAAATCATCCAGTGATGATGAAATTCAACAATGGATGGAAAACCCTTGCTAACCTATGAATGCCATATGAATGCCAACTACTATCAACAGTATTTGGTAACTCACTGTGTAACCTGGGGCAAAGTCAATGAGATTCAATTTAGCAAACATTTGGAGAGAGGCAGATGTGACCTCCCAAGTGGATAGAGAGGCAGAAAGTAAGAAGGACCTGGGTTCAAGTCCAGACTCTCTGAGACCCGGATAGGGCACTTAACCTCTCAATGCCCCCAAGCAATATTCTTAGACTGTGTGTAAACCTCCAGATAAGTGGCCACCCTGAATCAGTGGAGGGGCCTTTCATACCTGGAGTTCCTTACACTGATGAAATCACACACACACACACACACACACACACACACACACTTGCATTTCCTTATGTGTAGACATGTCTCCTGGCAGAAAATAAGTTCTTCGAGGGAAGGGATTGTCTTCATTTTGGCTTTTGTGGGAGGATGTGTGGTCCAGTAGAGCTAGACTTCTTAACCTGGGATGTCAGGGGATCCATGAACTTGGATAGAAAAAAAAAATAACACTTTTGTTTCAATACAATTGGTTTCTTTTATAATCCTACAAATTCTGTGTATTTAAAAACACTCTTCTGAGAAGACAAACACAGGCTTCAGCAGATTGCCAAAGGGGTCCGTGACATATCCCTGCTTTGGAGTCAGAGGTCCTGGGTTCAAATCCCACTGACTATACTCCTCTGTAAAATGAAGAAACTGGACGAGATAATGTCTAAGGTCCCTTCCAGCTCTGGATCCAGGACCTGGGGGTTCCAAAGCACTTAACGCTGTGCCTTACACTAGTTGGTGCTTGAAAAAAACAGGGGTGACCTCAAAGTCTTAGTGCAGTTTTAAACTTGTTTGGTCAAGAAAACTGGGGCCAGGGCCTCCTCCGGCACTCTTTCCCCTATCCGGCACTCTGAATACACTGGGGGAAGGAGGACAAGGAAGAGGAGAAGGGACATGGGAGGGGAGCAATTGATTGTAAAAGCTTGGCAGTTCTTGCTGAATTCATCGTCAAGGTCCATTTATCAGATGCAGCCAGAGCAGATTTATTCAGGGGCCAAACCCCAGGGAGAAGGAATCTCATCTCCTGAGGAGAATGCTGTGCTTTCAGACACAAAGACGGCTTCCTTTCTCCAACCAGCTCCGCCCAAAGCGCTTCCTCTGCCTAACTGTGTCTGCCCAAGCAATTAGAACCAAAGACAGACTGGGGGCACCGCCAGGAGACAAGTTATCAGGTAGTTTGCATGGACTGAGCCCAGTGCTGTCAACCCTACTCCCAGACCAACAGGCAAGTGCCTCCCACTGGTCCGGGGCATGGTCCATGGGACTAACGGCACCTTCTGGCATTCTTTCCCTGGGAGGGACCAGAGAGGACCACAGAACGTCACAGCGGGGAGGATCTCGGTGGCCACCCAGACAAATCAACACCTCTGCATATACAACTTGACGATATTGGAGGAAGCTAGGTGGTAGAATAATAGTGGATAGATTGCTGTACTTGGAGACAGAAAGTCCTGAGTTCAAATTCCACCCCAGACATTAGCTATGTGACACAGGGCAGGTCACTCAACCTTTCTGTGCCGCAGTTTCCTCATCTGTAAAACAAGGAAGTTGGATACGATGACCATTAAGGTCCCGTCCAGCTCCACCTCCCAGTCACCCAGTCTCAGACTGAAGACCCTCCAGTGAGGGAGAAGCCTCACTACCTCCAGAGGGAGCCAACTCTACTTAGGGACATCAGGGGTCTGAAATACCCTAGCACACCTTCCACCCAGTGCTCCCTGCTCTGCCCTCTGGGGCCAAGCAGAACAAAACTAATCCCTCTCACACAGGACAGCCTTTCAGATACTCGAAGTCACGTCCCTCCTTCTCCTCTGCTGACTAACATCCCATTTCCTTCAGTCAGTTCTAATATGACATGATCTCTAGGCCTTTTCACATCTTAGTCACCTTTTTCTGGATGCTCCCCAGCTGACCTTCCTGGAATTCAAGACCCAGATACTACTTCCACTTTCAGAGCCTTAGAACCGAAAAGAAGTTCAAGATTCAATCAACACCCTCACACACACACACACACACACACACTTTACAGATGAGGAAACTGAGGCCCACATGGGAAAGGGGACTTAGCCAAGGTCACACAGCTACTAAATGGCAGGACTAGAATTCAAATCGAGGTCCCCTGACTCCCAAAACATCCGTCTTTCCACTTGTTCCCTCAGCGCAACTCCAACTACCTGCTACCATCCCAGAAGCTGGGCATCGGCCCACCCCTAGCTCTCCAGCTAACTCAGTGTGTCTGTGCCTTGCACCTGGCAGCCCCAGATCCTCAGGCGTACTGACTGGGAGCTGGCCAGACAGACCGGTGGGCTGGCCATGATGCTAGGTTTGGGGGTTGGGGAGGAAGCGGCCATCTGCAGGGGCTGTAGCCTGGATAGACTTTCCTCCCGACTCTCATCTCCCCAGAGATGGAGTCTTACATTTTGGTGGATGGTGGCTGCCTGTTGCTTCCCTCCACCGCACAAGAGGCTGTCCCAGCCCTTCTCCCGATCCCCCTCCGCTGCCCCAAATCAAAAACTAGCTACAGGTGGCTGCCACCTGTGGGCTGCCGAAGTGACCATCATCCCCCTAGCAAAATCCAATGGAAAAGTCAGAACTCACTCCCAGCTCCTGCTGCACGTTTCCCCAGTCGGTACCTGGAGCCCAGAGAACCAGGAAAAAACAACCTCTAAATAAACTCTTAGCCAGCACCCCGCTCTCCTCCCCTGGCAGGCACAAATGAACACCCAAGGCCACCCTCTTCTGGGAAGGAGAAAATACTTCTCTGGAAAAGCACCTGTTCTGAGTTATTGCTGACACCCACCCCCGCCCCCCTTCCCCAAACCAGGCACGAGGAGGGCTGCCCGGGGGAAAGAGAGACTTGGCTATACCTACCAGGTATCCAGGGGAGGGGCAGGGATCTACCTGTGGAGGGGCCCTGGGGGCTCTGGGCTCCTGGGAGGATGTGGGAGCGGGGGAGCAGAGCCCTCCCCTGCTTCCCGCAGCCGGAACCCTCTCTCCTGATTGTGTCGTCAGGGGCAACACGAGGTGCTCTAGACAATTTCAATTACTCAGCCCTTGAGTAAACATGTGGCAGGCAGCGAGGAACTGGGCAGCTGGAGCCAAACAAAGGCCTGGATTTCTCTCCCGGGAGCCGAAGGGCAGCTCGCTCCCAAGCTCAGGCTCGCGGCCCGGTGGGGCCCGAAGGCCCTGGAGCGCGAGGGCACATAAGGAGACAGGCCCGGGGGCCGCAGGGGCACAGGCCAGGGCAATGCTTCTCCAGAGCATGGGATGGGGGCCAGGGAGGGCAGGGAACTAGCCCATCTCCGCGTCTGCCCCGCCCCCGTGACGTCACCCGGCTTCTCCCCAACCACCGGCCGCTCTGCCGGCTCGAGCTCCTCCCAGGAATCATGAAAAAGTGTCCGACCTGTAGGACCTGGCAGGTGACTCTCCCCCATCCGTTGCTGGGTGGGGCGGGGTCTAGAGGGAAATCACAAAACCCAGAAGCCGCCTGGTCAAACCTCCTCGTTTTACAAAGAAAGAAACTGAGGCTCGGAGTGACCTGGCCAAATTCACACAGCTAGCGTGCCAGAGAGGATTTGGACCGAGGTTCTCAGACTGCGAAGCCATCTTTCTGTCCACTGTGCTAAAGCACCTACGATTCCAGAGCTTGCTTTCTCAGCTTCAGGATATCCATACCCTTCCGGGCGTGGAACAATGAGGGAAGAACAGCAAAAGCAAATACAACAAATTCCAAACTACATGAAATAAAAAGCCCAAGAAATGTAGAGACCTATCAAAGAAGTCGAAACCGTGCGAAGGCTGGATTGAAGAACGTAGCATCCCCACTAAGCACCTACTATGTGCCAGGCACTGTGCTCGAGATACAAAAAGAGGCAAAAGACAATCCCTGCCCTCACGGAGCTTACAGTCTCACCAGGAGACAACACGCAAACAAATATATACAGAGCAAGCTAGATACAGGATGAATAGGAAATAATTCACAGCCAGGAAGCACTGGAATCAAGAGGGCTTGGGAAAGGCTTCTCGCAGAAAATGAGCTTACACCCCTAATTCTTTTATTCAATTGCTTTCTTTTATGTGTTGTTTCCCTCTGTTAGAGTGTGGGTCCTTAAACGAGAGGCTGTCTCACTTTTCTATTTGTACTCCTAGCATTTAGCACAATGTTGGGCACATTAGCCCCTGAAAAATGCTTTTTCATTCATTTCATTCATTCAGTTGCAAAAATCAATCATTTTACCAACCCCCATGCTATTCAACCAAACTATATAAAAGAACAATAGTGGATCAGAAACTTTTGCCAAAACAGTTCCTCGATGAATTCCATCAGATATAAAGCCGAGAGGAATGAGCAACAATAAGTCACATTTCTATAGCTCTTAGGGTCTGTAAAATACTTTCCTCAGGAAGAAGATGGTGCCAGAATTATTATCTCCATTTGACAGATAAGAAAACTGAGGCTTGGGTCCCCAATTACTACCCGGTATGACCTTGGGTAAGTCACAGCCTGGGCCTTTGTTTCCTCATTTGTCAAATGATGGGATTAGACTAGGTGGCTTCCTAGATCCCTCAATTAAAGATCTCTGAGCCCAAGTGACTAGCCCAAGGTCACCTAGTCAACGAATGGAAGAGCTGGGACTCAGACCTAGGTCTCCTGAATCACTGAAGTTCAGGACTGGAAGGGACCTCAGAGGCATTCTCATACCTATCTGTACAGTAAATCTCTACCAATAAAGTCAATTCAATGAGTATTTATTAAAAGCCTACTGTATGCTGAGCATGGAGGTTACAAAGGCAAGGCAAAGCACAAAGAAACAAAGGTCCCTGCCCTCAAGGAATCCAGATGAATTTGCCTTCTAGCCCCTGTTACCTCGTGAGGCAGGCCACCTCCCTTCAGGACAGCTCTCGGGGTTCAAAAGTGCCTGCCATTGAGCTGAGAGCTGCCGCTCTGGAATGTCCCAGCCACCCCCTATTTTAGCCCTGGTTCTGCCCCTTGGGCCCAAACAGAACAATCCAATCCCTTTTCCTCCCACAGGACAGCCCTTCAGCCATGAGAAGTTGCTAATGTTCCCATCCAGCCCTTGCCAAATTTTCTCCTTTCCAAGTTAAATATCCCACTTCTTTCAACTGGTCCTCACATGAGGCCATTTGCCATTCTCAATGTTCTCTTCTGGATTCTCCAGTTTATCCATCTGCTTTTACTGGCCCCTGATTTTGTAGGGAGCACCCTGCAAAGAAACCCTCTCTACCAATGGAGATGGGTACCTTCTCTGTAACTTAGAGAGCTGCCTGGGAAATGAGAGATGAAATGACTTACCCAGGGTCACACAGCCTCTACGTGTCAGAGGTTGGACTTCACCCCAGCTCTTCCTGACTCTGACACCAGCTCTCTAGCTACTCTAGGCTATGCTGTCCGCCCCTCAGGTTAAGATGTGCCGCCTAGAACTGACTAACTATGGTCATAGCTTCACCTGAGACTCCAAGAAGCTGGAACGTGAGCAGCAGCCACACCCTCATAAAACCATCTCGGCAGGGGCAGCTAGGTGGCGCAGTGGATAGAGCTCCAGCCTAGGAGTCAGGTGTTCAAATCCGGTCTCAGACACTTGGCACTTAATAGCTGTGTGACCCTGGACAAGTCACTTACCCCTGATTGCCTCACCAAAAAAGCAAGGGAAAAAAAAAACCCATCTCAGCAGATGGGGCTAAACCAGGTTGAGGGTAACCAAATGGTAGTTAGGGGGATCTCTACCCCAAGCATATAAAGATCCCCCCCAGGAATGGGCAGATGAGAACAATTGGTTCCAGCAGCCACGAAGGCAGCCAAAGCAGGAGATGTGGAGCACTTAGAGTTTGGTCAGACATTGAAGGTGCCAAGGTCATCCAGGCATCCCAGGACATCAACAGTCATCCTGAAGTCCTGCCACTGGACTTCAAGGACTCGGGAAGAGAGTGAGGCTGATGGCTCTGCACGACTGCCTCACTTGAATCGAATTCATTCACAAGTCAAGACGGCACCCACAATGTCATTGTCCTCTTTGAAAACAAAGGATGAACAACATAAATTCTAGGGTCCTCGGCCCGACTTCCACTGGCACCGGCAGGTTAGGTCCCCAGAGGGCAGCTACATATCTCCCTCTCAGGTTTCTGTGGTAAACCAACGGGTTTATGGAGCTTTATCAGCTCAAATTCATCAGCCTATTGTGGTGTATTCCCCAGATTTTGCCACCTTAAGCTTCCTTGCCATACTTAAGCTTCTTTCTCCTTCTGTCCCTATGGGCCCCTTCTCTCACTGGTGAATTCCTTCCATTACTTTCACCTTGAGGAAAGACCCAGAGCAGCATCTTTTATTCTCCAGACTTGGCCACCATGCTCCTCCAAGGATACATTCCTCCAAAGATGTGCTGGTCAATGTTTAACAACCAGCTTTGGGAAGGGAGGAGAGGGTGAACCCACAACACCCTTTGAAGTTTAATCTTCCTCATGAACATTCCTCCAGCACTTTTTAAAATCTAGGCAATCAACAAAACAAGAAAACAAGCCCTAGTTTGTAGCTTTGCCAGCACTGGAGATTTAACAAGCAGCTCTCCGAGGCAAGCTGGCTCCTCTATACCAATGCTCCCTTCCCTCCCTTTTCAACTCCCTTTTATATGTTGGCTTCCTCCATCAGAATGTAAGTTCCTTGAGAGCAGGGACTGACTTTTTTTTGTTTGTATTTGTATGAGCACAATGCCTGGAACACAGTAAGCACTTAATAAATGCTTGTTGACTGGATCTGACTTCTCCCCAATATCAATCACTAGTGATTACTGGCCCAATATCATTTGCCAATTGATATCTCCTTGATATATTAGATAAGTAATTAATAACAATTAGCTTTTACAAAGGGATATTTAATGAGAAGATATATCAGTAACAGAAGGACAAATACACCCTCTGAACTGGGGGCACACTCTTTACATGAGCATAATCCCTAAGACATGGTTGACCAAGACAGAGCTATAGCTATCATCACCCCAGTCCTACACCTTGGGCCTCTCTTCTTTTTTTTTTAATGACAAATTCAACAACAAATGCAAACCTTTCAATAGACAAAGAAAATCAAAAAAAGAAAATTGTACATGAAACCACTAGCTTCTGCCACATATGATTGGCATATCAAATTGAACAAGGTTCCCCTTGGGAACTTCTTTCTGTTTTTTTCTGAAATGTATCCTCTCTCAATGCATCCTAAGAAGGCTTCAGCTCTTTTCTGGTTGCCAGGAGACCTCACTGAATCATGTGAAGCTAGGAAGGCCACTTCATGTCTCGCACCCCTCCACTAGACGGCATTATGGGCCTATTACTTAAGTACATTAGGAAAGGACAGAGGACAGACATCCCAGCCCACCTGCCTTCTCTCTCCCCTGAGGAGGATAGTGAGGGTGCCTCAACACGAAGGTGAATGAATCCATATTCTCTACGGATGGTGAGTTGACTAGGAAGGCCCTACAGGGCCCTGGCCTTTCCTCCCTTTTCTATTTTGCCTGTTAGCCAGGGGCAGTTCTGTCCAAGATTTCTCAGGCACTCAATCAAACAAGCATTTACTGCACACCCAGCATGTGACCAGCACTGCTCTAAGCACTAAGGGGATATACCAATATAATAGGATCCTAGATCCGTAGACTAGAGCCGGAAACAGGGCTGTGCTAGAGTCAGCTCAAACTGAGAAACAATTGTTACATTTTCAGGGTGAGAATTTCCTCCTCCAAAACTAGCAGAAGCTGCAAGTCAGGGTTCCATTTATTGTTTTGGTGATTGCCTAGACTTTGGTAACAAAGATCTCAAAGGGTGGGGGAGGGGCCAGAGGGAGTGCAAATATGGAGCTCAAAATACAAGAGTAAATGTTTAAAAATTAAAAAAAATTTTTAAAAAGAAAGTGATGAAGAAAATGTTAATAATGCATATTAATCTTAAAAGAGTGTCACACAAACCTATTTTTCTTTTTTTAGTAAAACATTTAAATTTTTTTATTCTTTAAATAGTATTTTTTCCAATTACATGTAAAGATAATTTTTAACATTCTTTTTTTTTGGGCGGGGGGTGAGGCAATGGGGTTAAGTGACTTGCCGAGAGTCACACAGCTAGTGAGTGCTATATGTCTGAGGCCGGATTTGAACTCAGGTCCTTCTGACTCC